AGTTACTGGTCTGTTGGTGTGTCCCTGTGTACAGTTTCAAGTCTGATGGTGTCTGCCTGTGTACAGCTACAAGTCTGCTGGTGTCTCCCCGTGTACAGTAACTAGCCTGGTGATGTCTGCCTGTGTACAGTAACTGGTCTGGTGTTGTCTCCTGTGTACAATCACTAGTCTGGTGGTGTATACCTGTGTACAGTTACAAGTCTAGTGATGTCTCCCTGCGTACAGTTACTAGTCGGGTGGTGTATCCCTGTGTGCAGTTACTAGTCTTGCGCTGTCTCCCTGTGTTCAGTTCCTAGTCTGGCGGTGTATCCCTGTGTTCAGTTTCTAGTCTGGTGGTGTATACCTGTGTACAGTTACTGGTCTGGAGGTGCCTCCCTGTGTACATTTACTAGTCTGGTGGCGTCTCCCTGTGTACGGTTACTAGTCTGGTGATGGCTCCCTGTGTACAGCCACTAGTCTGCTGGTGTCCCCCTGTGTACATTTACTAGTCTGGTGGTGTTTCCATGTGTACAGCTACTAGTCCGCTGGTGTCTCCCTGTGGACAGTTACAAGTCTGATGGTGTCTGCCTGTGTACAGCTACTTGTCTGCTGGTGTCTCCCTTTGTACAGATACTAGTCTGCTGGTATCTCCCTGTGTACTTTTACTAGTCTTGTGGTGTCTCCTTGTGTGCAGTTACTAGTCTAGTAATGTCTCCCTGTGTATAGTTACTAGTCTGGTAATGTCTCCCTGTGTATAGTTACTAGTTTGGTGGTGTCTCCCTGTGTACTGTTACTAGTCTGGTGCCGACTCCCTGTGTACAGCTACTTGTCTGCTGGTGTCTCCCTTTGTACAGTTACTGGTCTGTTGGTGTCTCCCTGGGTACAGTTACTAGTCCAGTGGTGTCTCCCTGTGTAAAGTTACTAGTCTTGTGCTCTCCCTGTGTACAGATACTAGTCTGCTGGTATCTCCCTGTGTACAGGAACTAGTCTGGTGATGTGTCCCTGTGTACAGTTATTAGTCTAGTGATGTCCCCCTGTGTACATTTACTAGTCTGGTTTTGTCTCCCTGTGTACGGTTACTGGTCTGGTGTTGTCGCCCTGTGTACAGCTACAAGTCTGCTGGTGTCTCCCCGTGTACAGTTACTAGTATGTTGGTGTCTCCCTGCGTACAGTTACTAGTCGGGTGCTGTCTCCCTGTGTTCAATCACTAGTCTGGTATTGTCTCCCTGTGTACCGTTACTAGTCTGTTGGAGTCTGGTGTTGTCTACCTTAGTACAGTTACTGGTCTGATGGCGTCTCCCTGTGTACGTTTACTGTCTGGTTGTGTCTCCCAGTGTACAGTTACTATTAGTCTGGTGGTGTATTCTTGTGTACAGCTACTAGGCTGGTGGTGTCTCCCCGTGTACAGTAACTAGTCTCGTCTAGCCTGATGGTGTGTCTATAGGCACAGTGTCTGGTTATTCTGATGTTGTGTCTCTAGGCACAGTGTTTGTCTAGCCTGATGGTGTGTCTATAGGCACAGTGTCTGGTTATTCTGATGTTGTGTCTCTAGACACAGTGTTTGTCTAGTCTGATGGTGTCTCCCTGTGTACTGTTACTGGTCTGGTGGTGTTTCCCTGTGTACAGTTACTAGTCTGCTGGTGTATCCCTGTGTACAGTTACTAGTCTGCTGGTGTACCCCTGTGTACAGTTACTAGTCTGGTTGTGTCTTCCTATGTACAGTTACTAGTCTGGTGGTGTCTCCCTGTGTACAGTTACTAGTCTGGTGGTGTCTCCCTGTGTACAGTTACTAGTCTGGTGGTGTCTCCCTGTGTACAGTTACTAGTCTGGTGGTGTCTCCCTGTGTACAGTTACTAGTCTGGTGGTGTCTCCCTGTGTACAGTTACTAGTCTGGTGGTGTCTCCCTGTGTACAGTTACTAGTCTGGTGGTGTCTCCCTGTGTACAGTTACTAGTCTGGTGGTGTCTCCCTGTGTACAGTTACTAGTCTGGTGGTGTCTCCCTGTGTACAGTTACTAGTCTGGTGGTGTCTCCCTGTGTACAGTTACTAGTCTGGTGGTGTCTCCCTGTGTACAGTTACTAGTCTGGTGGTGTCTCCCTGTGTACAGTTACTAGTCTGGTGGTGTCTCCCTGTGTACAGTTACTAGTCTGGTGGTGTCTCCCTGTGTACAGTTACTAGTCTGGTGGTGTCTCCCTGTGTACAGTTACTAGTCTGGTGGTGTCTCCCTGTGTACAGTTACTAGTCTGGTGGTGTCTCCCTGTGTACAGTTACTAGTCTGGTGGTGTCTCCCTGTGTACAGTTACTAGTCTGGTGGTGTCTCCCTGTGTACAGTTACTAGTCTGGTGGTGTCTCCCTGTGTACAGTTACTAGTCTGGTGGTGTCTCCCTGTGTACAGTTACTAGTCTGGTGGTGTCTCCCTGTGTACAGTTACTAGTCTGGTGGTGTCTCCCTGTGTACAGTTACTAGTCTGGTGGTGTCTCCCTGTGTACAGTTACTAGTCTGGTGGTGTCTCCCTGTGTACAGTTACTAGTCTGGTGGTGTCTCCCTGTGTACAGTTACTAGTCTGGTGGTGTCTCCCTGTGTACAGTTACTAGTCTGGTGGTGTCTCCCTGTGTACAGTTACTAGTCTGGTGGTGTCTCCCTGTGTACAGTTACTAGTCTGGTGGTGTCTCCCTGTGTACAGTTACTAGTCTGGTGGTGTCTCCCTGTGTACAGTTACTAGTCTGGTGGTGTCTCCCTGTGTACAGTTACTAGTCTGGTGGTGTCTCCCTGTGTACAGTTACTAGTCTGGTGGTGTCTCCCTGTGTACAGTTACTAGTCTGGTGGTGTCTCCCTGTGTACAGTTACTAGTCTGGTGGTGTCTCCCTGTGTACAGTTACTAGTCTGGTGGTGTCTCCCTGTGTACAGTTACTAGTCTGGTGGTGTCTCCCTGTGTACAGTTACTAGTCTGGTGGTGTCTCCCTGTGTACAGTTACTAGTCTGGTGGTGTCTCCCTGTGTACAGTTACTAGTCTGGTGGTGTCTCCCTGTGTACAGTTACTAGTCTGGTGGTGTCTCCCTGTGTACAGTTACTAGTCTGGTGGTGTCTCCCTGTGTACAGTTACTAGTCTGGTGGTGTCTCCCTGTGTACAGTTACTAGTCTGGTGGTGTCTCCCTGTGTACAGTTACTAGTCTGGTGGTGTCTCCCTGTGTACAGTTACTAGTCTGGTGGTGTCTCCCTGTGTACAGTTACTAGTCTGGTGGTGTCTCCCTGTGTACAGTTACTAGTCTGGTGGTGTCTCCCTGTGTACAGTTACTAGTCTGGTGGTGTCTCCCTGTGTACAGTTACTAGTCTGGTGGTGTCTCCCTGTGTACAGTTACTAGTCTGGTGGTGTCTCCCTGTGTACAGTTACTAGTCTGGTGGTGTCTCCCTGTGTACAGTTACTAGTCTGGTGGTGTCTCCCTGTGTACAGTTACTAGTCTGGTGGTGTCTCCCTGTGTACAGTTACTAGTCTGGTGGTGTCTCCCTGTGTACAGTTACTAGTCTGGTGGTGTCTCCCTGTGTACAGTTACTAGTCTGGTGGTGTCTCCCTGTGTACAGTTACTAGTCTGGTGGTGTCTCCCTGTGTACAGTTACTAGTCTGGTGGTGTCTCCCTGTGTACAGTTACTAGTCTGGTGGTGTCTCCCTGTGTACAGTTACTAGTCTGGTGTTGTCTCCCTGTGTACAGTAACTAGTCTGGTGGTGTCTCCCTGTGTACAGTTACAAGTCTGATGGTGTCTCCCTGTGTACAGTTACTAGTCTGGTGGTGTTTCCCTGTGTACAGTTACTAGTCTGCTGGTGTATCCCTGTGTACAGTTACTAATCTGGTGGTGTCTCCCTGTATACAGTTACTAGTCTGGTGGATTATCCCTGTGTACAGTTACTAGTCTGGTGTTGTCTCCCTGTGTACAGTAACTAGTCTGGTGGTGTCTCCCTGTGTACAGTTACAAGTCTGATGGTGTCTCCCTGTGTACAGTTACTAGTCTGGTGGTGTTTCCCTGTGTACAGTTACTAGTCTGCTGGTGTATCCCTGTGTACAGTTACTAATCTGGTGGTGTCTCCCTGTATACAGTTACTAGTCTGGTGGATTATCCCTGTGTACAGTTACTAGTCTGGTGTTGTCTCCCTGTGTACAGTAACTAGTCTGGTGGTGTCTCCCTGTGTACAGTTACAAGTCTGATGGTGTCTCCCTGTGTACAGTTACTAGTCTGGTGGTGTTTCCCTGTGTACAGTTACTAGTCTGCTGGTGTATCCCTGTGTACAATTACTAATCTGGTGGTGTCTCCCTGTGTACAGTTACTAGTCTGGTGGTGTATCCCTGTGTACAATTACTAATCTGGTGGGGTCTCCCTGTGTACAGTTGCTAGTCTGGTGGTGTCTCCCTATGACCACAGTGGTTATCGTGATGGTGTCTCTGTAGCCACTTTTGATTATCCCCTAGTTACTAGTCTGGTGGTGTCTCCCTGTGTACAGTTGCTAGTCTGGTGGTGTCTCCCTATGACCACAGTGGTTATCGTGATGGTGTCTCTGTAGCCACTTTTGATTATCCCCTAGTCAAAAGATTGTGACCAGGAATAGGCTAGGTGTCCGTGTCCATGATGCCATATTTCAGTACGGCCCCTCAGCCAGTAAACAACGTTGCCATAGTATATGATTTAAGCTGTTACAAAGACCTTAACCCTACATATGTGTTTGCTGCTCTTCGACATATCGTGGCATTTTTGTGTCGATGAGCCATTAAGGCAATTAAGTGTGGGTAACAAAATGACTTAATAAAAACGTTTATTGTAATGTATGTAGTAAGTTTATTCGAGAAAGTGATAAACTGCATTGTGTTCTTAATTTTGTCTATTAATTCTTAACAAGGTTGCAGACAAACGCATAAACCAATCCATCTCAAATTGTTTCGTAATGAAAATATTTGTTTTCTTTACCTTCATTCGCCATTTCGTTAAAGACGCCTGTCTAATAACTGCTACAGAAACCTTGACGTTCCTTTTCAGGCGATGGCACAATCGACTTCCACGAGTTTCTCCTGATGATGGCTGAACGGCGGAAGAGTCCGAAGAATGACGACGACCTTCAGCGAGCATTCGACGTATTCGACAAGGACAAGAACGGTTACATATCTAGAGAGGAGCTGAAGAGTGTGATGGAAACTCTAGGGGAGAGACTCAACGATAGCGAACTAGACGAAATGTTAAAGGAGGCTGACAAAGATGGCGACGGTCAAGTAAACTATGAAGGTAAGTTTGTGTCCTGATCAGAATTAAATTATGATCCAAGTAAAGGGCCATGTTTTTGGCCTGTAGAAATATATATAAACAAAGAGTTCTGACCTACCCTACTATATTACCAAGGTGTAACTAACACTCCCGAACACCGGAACGGGGGTTAGATGCGGTTCAGCTTTAATTGCTGTTTTACCCGAATCTTTTTAAGATATCAATAAACATAATACTTTTATTTTGTGACCATGGATTGAAGTAAAGCAAGACCAACTGTGATCCTTCTAACTGGAGACGTGCCAACATCGAAACGAAACTTTGGGCTTCATATGAGCTGTTTTGCATTTAGCAATCTGGTTTGACAGCACATATTAGACTAGCCACTAGCCCTCCACCACAGGGTCGCTGGTTCGACGCCTACGTGGGGCAGTCGCCAGGTACTGGCCGTAGGTCGGTGGTTTTTCTCCGGGAACTCCGGCTTTCCTCCACCACCAAAACCTGGCACGTCCTCAAATGGCCATAGCTATTTATAGGACATAAAACACAAACAAACCAAACATATTAGAATAGACCTACTTATTTATGTAGGAAGGGTAGGACTATGTTTATCCTACAGAGCAGATGTCTGTGGTCATAGTGAGGGGATATTATGTGTGATGCATTTTAGCATGATCACATCGAGTAACTACTCACACATATTACATCTGCATACTCAGTAAATGCTCAGGGAGCTGGTCATACCTTAACTATATGGCACCCCAGCGGGTAAAATACAGATTACTTCCTACCGACACGGCTGTGGAATGACCCTTAAACTCATTCAGTAGAGTGTGAGCCTAGTAATCCAGAGTCCCCGGGATCGATCCCTAACAACACCGACTTCTGTTACAAAGAGATCCACATATTTCCCTGGATTTAAAGAGACATCCTGATGGACGCTCCAGGTATGTAGTGCTCGAGTAACGCCTCTAGTATTGGCAGGGAGATTTGATTGGTTCCTTGTCTCCTCTATCAAATGTGAGTGTCAGGATTTTCGCGAGATGGACACACTCGGACATGGTACACCTGTTAACGATAGGAAAATTAGCATTAAGTGAAATATTGTCGATAATCTCTGGGAGTCCATTTTTAAACATTATAGACAGGAATATATCATACAGCCAGTAAACGCCTATGGTGAAGAAAACGCCTACAGTGTCAATGTAGATAGAGTTATAATATTACAAGCTGAAACATCAGAGAAACAAACATTTGTGAGAAGAAACCTGGCAAAAGGCCCGAGAGCGGTTGCCCCAATTCTGCTTTATTTTGTGGAGACAGAGATGTTCATGTAGATAAATTCAAATTACAAGTTATTTAACAGAATGGGATTTTACAAATTTTCAGTTCTAGCGAAAGCAGTACTACACTGCAACGTCGTGAAAATGACAATAATATACTATAATGAATATTTACCATGGGCGATGTTAACAGCTATAAGCAGCACCCAGTGAGAAGTCGCATCAAGTTGTCTCCCCTTCTGTACGTACTCCCTCTCTCACATTCCCGTAAATTGGCTCTGTAACAAGTGAATCTATATTTGAGATATATTATCTCTAAAAGTTATGACACTGACTAGCACACGAACTTCAACTCCCCGATGTTATTTCTTTAAAACTGACGCGGCTATAAATAGCATGAGAAATATTACTGGACTTAGCTGTTTTAATACGAACGGTTAGAAGAGAAGGGAGTGAAGAAATCATCCTTTTTCTATGTAAAGATATATTTGAATATCTTATAAATGACTCTATAAAACATCATTATCTAAATAAGCTGTCGGTTACCCTACTTATAAATATTTAGACTTAAATATTCCTGTTGAATGAAGAGAGAGGCACACAAACAAACGTATCGTAATCCTGAGACAATGTTACACGAGCCCGCCAATGGGAGGTACGTATAGGAGTCCATTGCTTTATATTTAGAGAGACCAGTCATTGTAAAACTAGACATCAGATAGGGTTTACATAGACTCAGACCTTCTGCTATGATTCTAGATTTATAAACACCACATCACGTGGAAAACAGTATAAAAAACACATAATGGCTGTACTGTGACATTAGACTCCATTTGTTTTCTGCTGAAACAATCCAACGTCATAATATGGAGAGAAAAAAATCGGACATGGATGATTAATTCATATTTTTGTCTAAAATTGGCATGAGACATTTACAGAGATTATGGAGAAAACAGCAATTTATTCTGAGAGAGCAAGGAGACCACTCTTCAACATATTATAGGGGTTATTGTTTTTGCTATACCCTTTATTAAATGAACGATAACAACTTCGCATTTTTATTTGTTTTATCTTCACGTATGTTGTATTCCGCAGCATATTATGACATACGAGGATTTTCTTCACTCAGTCGGATCCCTTCACCTAAAAGCTAAATATCAATAACATCTTCAAATGACAGCTACGATTTATCACCTCATAGTATAGACTTTCTCAACGGTGGGTATTAGCCCAAGTATATAAGCAACACAAGTAGCAATTTCGGTAGCAATAATTCTTTACAACTGGGGTAAGCGTCGCAGTGAATATACGTTGTTCCGGACACTATAAAGTGAAAACAAAACAAGAGAGGACGTCTATGAAAAGATCATTGAATTTTGTAGATGACTCGATTAGTTATTGAATAAATACTGTATTAATTGCTTCTTCAGATTCTTATAGTTTTGCTAAATAGTCAGATACATGGTAATGTCCTTGTATGATAGACGACGTACAGCTTCACTCTCCATGTCCAGCCGTGCAATGGCCTCCTATAGCTATGTTGCCTGCTTTAACTAAGAAGGGACATGTCTATCAATGCACATGTATACCTTTCCCATCGAGCTAGCCGCAGCTCGCCGCACGTGCTGTATAACCGCTAATCGGGGGAGTGTTTAAACTAAATACTTTGGTATGGACCGCTGCAAACGCATTGAAAAAAGATATTAAAACCTTTTGTGTGTCTAGTGAATCAAAGATGGCCAACGTAAATAGCATGATGAATGTCTATATTAAGATAACACTACAACCCTCTCTCAGGGATACCAGGGCGATCGGGTACTGCGGCCGAGGAATTCCTTTGTGTGCGTTTTACTGCTAGGCGTTATGTAATTGGAAAACTACACGATCACTATTGAGTATCAGTCAATCAATGCAAGACAAGCTCACGATCTGGGAATACAAATTAAGGAGACATAGTTTCCATTCATGGAGTTATATTTTGATGACTTAATCGTAATCGTTTGTGTCTGCTCTCCAGCTTCACTAGTCTTAACTTGCTAGACGTATCATAGGGGTTTTCCTGCCAGCTAATTCAATGCCCTTATTTTCAGAGGGAGGAAACTTTTTTTTCAAACACTGTTTGATCAATTCATTTATATCTCGAAGATCTCAACTAAACAATCTTTTTATAAAGTCTTATCTTGTGAAATAAAGACTACTAACTGCATTGTATACCATACAATTAAACTACCGAATACATGTACTGTACAGTAAAGCATGCTATGTAAAACTTTTATAAAGACTAACAGAAAAACCTGAGCAGGAAGTGCATTCCACGAAAATTATTCAAAACCCTGTAATAGTTTGCGAAATAAACTCATTGTCATTGATGTTGTAATCATCATTGCTAGTCAGGTACTGGTCTTTATTGTAATGCGTGACTCATCGGGCCTTACCGATTTCATTTCAAAATTATTTTATTGTTGAAATTAACAATAGGATTGGGCACAGGTACAGGTATTGCCTATAAATGCCCTTCCCATATAGAAAGACATACATTTCAAACATATACTGCATGTAAACTGAAGATGTAATATAATAAGTGTAGGTAGATACAATGTAGGGTAGGCCGAACCAATAAGCCAGTTATATATATTGTACAAAGAGATTAGCAGTCTAATTGGAATATCAGAGACTGTAACAGGGTAGATCTAGTGTTTGGTTAGGGAAGATGGTGAGGCAATGATCAATAATTAAATATACTAGCTTCCGCAATATTAAAATCTTATGGCAAATATGCTGTTAATACATTGCTTCATTGTTTATAGTTGAGTGCATATTCATTAATTTAAATATTGTTTACATACTTCATAATATCCTGTATACGAGACGTTTTTCTTTTCTGTTTAATAATTACATGTTAATTGCTTTGTCAGTGATATGTATAAATTGTGCTTCAGTTTTATCTATAATTTTAAACACTTTCTAAAAGGTAAAACTAACAGACAGCATACACAGTATAGTTAATCAAACGCCTCCAGTGTACAATTCCTTGACATTGATTTTATCATTGGGTCAATTATGTTTCTGTTACAGAGTTTGTTCAGATCATGGAGGATAGATAAGAGATAGCGACATACACGTGTGTCGAATCTACTGAGGACTTAATGGTCGTAATCCATTCACACATCCGGGTATGTTTGGGCCGTTTCCAAATCTCCACAGTCCATGCCAGTCTGTGGTTTAGCTCTGGTGAACTCGCCCCACCGGTGACGTAACGCACACGCATGGAGAATCGATCACCAAATCTTACAATCAATATTGTCTAAATCTATAAATATTTTATGTGACATGTATGACGATATATCTGTTACGAATTGTTATTTCAATACATGTATTTTACTATTGATTTTAATATCATGATATCCATTCACATTTTTTTTCTAATTTTCATGTGATATACCTGTTACCATGATTGCGTCATCAACACATCATTTACAGCATCAAACCATGAGAATTCTATAACATTACCTGTATATCGCCTCACCAGTGTACAGTTTATACATGATTGTAGTCAAGATATACAAATAAATTATTCTTCTTACATATGTGTTACTTGTATTTGTCTGAATTTACATATTAATGTATTACTATAGCTTTGTCAATATAACACACGGTCTACTACCAACACCGAGAGGCATGTTTTTGTGTAAACTTCTGAAAGCTATCAAACAACTGTTTTTTTTAATATTAAAGAAAAACATTAAACAGTATATAGTTTAACTTAATTGACACTGTTTCAATTTGCTGTGACGTGTTTAAAGTTCAGATTAAGTTTAGCCGACATGTAGCATTCGAAAAAATTTCAAGAAAATAGATAATTTTAGTGTGTTTTTATTTTTCTCTGTGTTTTACTGTAATACTCCGCTACAAGGAATGGCGAGAAACTCATAATTTCCCTTACATTTTGACAGCAAAACGACCGTCAACAACAATCTAATTATAGACAATTAAACTCCTGAAATCAACGTCTTTTGGAACACTATTACATATGATCAAGTGATCGTGTGTATATACTGGTCAAATGGGAGTGCAATAAAAAGTTTGTAGGTTGAAATTAATTCAAATGAACTGTTTCCTGAGGCCACAGACCGAGGGAAATAGTTCATCGTCTAGGTCCTACCACCGAGAGGAAGTATCATTGTACACAATACGTACTAAGCAAGTATCATTGTACACAATAGGTACTAAACAAGTATTATTATACACAATACGTACTAACCAAGTATTATTGTACACAATACGTACTGAGCAAGTGTTATTGCACACGATACGTACTAAACAAGTATTCTTGTACACAATACGTACGAAACAAGTATTATTGTACACAATACGTACTGAACAAGTGTTATTGCACACAATACGTACTAAAGAAGTATTATTGTACACAACGTATTTTACAAGAAATACTGTATTACACAGTCCGTACTATGCAATTACAACTGTATATATTACGTACTACACAAGTATTATTGTACACAATACGTACTAAACAAGTATTATTGTACACAACGTAGTTTACAAGAAATACTGTATTACACAGTCCGTACTATGCAATTACAACTATAATAGTACGTACTACACAAGTGTCATTTTACACATAACGTACAACACAAGTAATATTGTACACATTACATGTTACACAAGTAATATTGTACACATTACACTCTTCGCAAATATTGTACACATTACACTCTACACAAATATTGTACACATTACATGTTACACAAGTAATATTGTACACATTACACTCTACACAAATCTTGTACACATTACACTCTACACAAATATTGTACACATTACATGTTACACAAGTATCCTTGTACACATTACGTAATACACAAGAAGCAGTGTACACACTGCGTACTTCACAAGTATTATTGTACACATAAGGGATTTTACAAAAACTTTGAATACACTGCGTAATACTCAATTATTATTATTATATACATTACGTGATAAACAAGTATCATTTTACACATTACGTACTACACAAGTATTACTGTACACATTACGTACTACACAAGTCTTTTTGTACATATCACGTACTACACAAGTATTATTGTACACATCACGTACTATACAATTATAATTGTACATACCACGTACTTCACAAGGTTAATTGTGCATACCACGTACTACACAAGTATCATTGTATGAAATACAAATATATCAATGATATAATTGAAATGTGAGGAGATGTCCCTCGCCATGGATAACGCGTAGCATTAGGGAGGAATTCGGTCTGGGACAGGAGACCATAAATATAGCGGTAATAAAGTTGCCGTGTTAACAATGGCTACCAGGGATAGACCATGGTCCTGTGAAAATATGCTACATTCTGACTAAATGACGCGGTATCAATACATACATACACATTTAGACATGTTGAAGTTTGTCTCAGAGAAGCTAGAAAAGCCAGAAGAGAGTTTGATATTCCGACAGTTCACATCATATAGACAACATGTCCGGTCTTAAGGTAAGTTGTATGTCTAAACGTCTTAATATAGAAATAGCTAATATTGTATTTAATCTAAACTGGTTTCAGACTCTAGAAAAAGATGTATGCATTCATTTTGTCGATTTCACCATTTGTTAATTACAGCTGAAGATATTCAGCAAAACCCATGAGGAGTTGTTTATGGTGTGTTCATAATACATTCTATGTTAAGGGTGGAAGTTATGAGATAACATTAGAAATTATAAAACATGCATGTTAAGCTATATATATAAGATTATATACTCAAATGAACCTTAATGAGCTATACTCGAAGTGAAGTCTGATTGTCCTTAATTGTGACTGTGGCTACTGAAAACAACATATTAAATGGTTCAATGGAGGACTGGTTTTCTTCCAGCTTTTTGTGGGAGTGTTATCCCGGAATTCTAGACCTTCAGCTTCCTAGGTGTATATTACCGTTTTACAACCTTTACATTTTGGCCACAAGCATTTGAGAGATTTTATTGATCGAAATGTTCAATCCATTTTTTCATCCTGTTGTAGACCAGAACACTCCATTGTTTTAGTCCTACTGTTGACCGAAAGACCCCAATGCTAATTCGTGTTATTGACTAGAACTCTCCATAGTTTTATTCCTGTTGATGACTAGAACACCTCATTATAATAATAATAGTAATATCTTTTATTTAGACAGGGTTACATATTTAGATTTACATCTATTTTATAATATGGCCCTGTATTACGCAATTTACCATGGACATGGACATGTTTCATACATGCCTTTTTCCATATCACACCCAGTGTCAACCGAGACTGCAATACCAGCCCGAGGGCTGATATTGGTCGAGGGTTGATACTGGGTGTGAAATGGAAAAAGGTGTGTTTTTATTATGGTTATTACATACTTACTTATAAAAGCTACTATCTTATGATCTATTTTTCTTTTGAAGTATTGAAAAACGAAAAGTTTCCAAAAGGGGTGTGATACGGGTTTTGCGGGCTGATACGGGTTTTTGGGTTTGATACGGCGGGGGCGGCTGATACAGGTTTTGGGGTGTGATACGGCGAGGGTTGATATGGGTTAGAGCAATTGTGGCGTTATATAATAAAATGACATATACAATATAACTTATTAATAACAATATCACATATGCAGATCCCGAAAAGTTAGTATAAAACTATTCGTCACATCTAAACATCTGCAGATATTCCTTCTTAAAAGACACAAACAAGAGGGGAAAAATCATCGGGGTGTAGAGCCAACGCCCTACTTCTAATCTAGGTTCTGTAGGTTCCGTTATTTCTTGCTTGGATACCCAGGGGTATGCAGGGCGATTGAGGAACGGGAAACTAAAGGCAATATTCAATCGAAACAAGCTCAGGATAGGTTGGTTTCTTTATTGTATGTCTAGCGGTTTCGCCCGAACATGGGCCTGACCTGAAGAAGCCCACGTGTTCGGGCGAAACCGGTAGACATACAATAAAGAAACCAACCTATCCTGAGCTTGTTGCGATTGAATACTGCCTTTAAACTAGGTAAAATATGCAGCGATCTTTCTAAATTGTTCCATAAAATAAAAACAGGGTAACTAAAACATCTCTTATAATTAGTTGTTCTTCATTTTTTTCACATAAAGTTATTTGCTGTTAAAAGAACGTGTAGTTCTGGCAGAAACCTGGTTAGCATTGCTAAAATATTGATTAAGAACAGGTACAATTTGGTCATGTAAAATCTTATACAAAAACAATTGTTTATTCCCGTTGTTAACCAGAGCACTCCATTGCTTTATTCCTGTTTTTGACCAGAACTCTCCGTTGTTTTATTTAGGTTTTGACCAGAACACTCCATTGTGTTATTCCCGTTGTTAACCAGAACACTCCGTTGCTTTATTAAGCTTGTTGACCAGAACACTCCTTTGTTTTATTCCTGTTTTTGACCAGAACACTCCGTTGTTTTATTTAGGTTTTGACCAGAACACTCCATTGTTTTATTTCTATTTTGACCAGAGCACTCCGTTGTTTTATTTAAGTTTTTGACCAGAACACTCCATTGTTTTATTTAAGTTTTTGACCACAACCCTCCATTGTTTTATTCCTGTTTTTGACCAAAACACTCCATTGTTTTATTCATGTTTTTGACCAGAACACTCCATTGTTTTATTTAAGTTTTTGTCCACAACACTCCATTGTTTTATTCCTGTTTTTGACCACAACACTCCATTGTTTTATTCCTGTTTTTGACCAAAACATTCCACTGTTTTATTCCCGTTGTTAACCAGAACACTCCGTGGTTTTATTTAGCTTGTTGACCAGAACACTCCATTGTTTTATTCCTGTTTTTGACCAGAACATTCCGTTGTTTTATTTAGTTTTTGACCAGAACACTCCATTGTTTTATTCCTGTTTTTGACCAGAACACTCCGTTGTTTTATTTAGGTTTTGACCAGAACACTCCATTGTTTTATTTCTATTTTGACCAGAGCACTCCGTTGTTTTATTTAAGTTTTTGACCAGAACACTCCATTGTTTTATTCCTGTTTTTGACCAGAACACTCCATTGTTTTATTTAAGTTTTTGTCCACAACACTCCATTGTTTTATTCCTGTTTTTGACCAAAACATTCCACTGTTTTATTCCCGTTGTTAACCAGAACACTCCGTGGTTTTATTTAGCTTGTTGACCAGAACACTCCATTGTTTTATTCCTGTTTTTGACCAGAACATTCCGTTGTTTTATTTAGTTTTTGACCAGAACACTCCATTGTTTTATTCCTGTTTTTGACCAGAACATTCCGTTGTTTTATTTAGGTTTTGACCAGAACACTCCGTTGTTTTATTTAAGTTTTTGACGATCACTAGCCCTCCACCACTTGGTCGTGGGTTCGAGGTCTACGTGGGGTATTTGTCAGGTACTGACCGCAGGTTGGTGATCTTTCTCCGGTTACACCGGATTTCCTTTACCACCAAAACCTGGCACATCTTTGAATGACCATAGCTGTTCAAAGGACGTAAAACACACATAACATGGTGTAGTATTTCTTTTCAACAAAATGATGATATGTCAGTGATGTTGTTAAAGTTGTTAAGACAAAGGCACCACTACATCAGCATGTACAATAACCACCAGAATGACCACCACACAAACATGCATCTTTATTATTTACTATGTTCATATAAGATTAATAAATTAATTCTGAATTCTGGATTTTTTTTCCAGGCAGAGGATTTAACTGCAGACCAAGTTGCAGGTATGTGCACATGTCATACATGCAGGTAGTGCATACCAATCAGATCGGTCGGCCCGCTTAGCCTTGGAGATGTACTATGTAGCTACCTGTTTAGTTTATGGGCATGCCAGTGACTCGTGAAGTCGCTGTCAGAGAGGCGTGCACTGTCACTGTAAAAAAACGTTTTTCTTTGGTTATTTAAATATTAGGCATATAATGCATAGCTTATGCAAATAGTGCATAACTCATATTTTTGTGAACTATACTACTGCCTAATAAATATGCTGTATTGTTTACAATACAGCACATCAAATGTAAATGTTCATAATTATCTATGCGCTTACAATTTAATACATAACTTGCAATCTCTCGTGTGAACATTGGTAGTCCAACAGTTTCATTTCTTTCGATCACATTTATCTTTGATATGTTCAACTCACACATGACATATTGTTAATATCCCCTTATATCTTTTAGAATGTAAGGAGGCTTTCAGCATGTTCGACAAAGATGGGGACGGTACCATCACCACTAAGGAACTGTCGACGGTCATGAGGTCCCTTGGCCAGAGCCCCACAGAGGCTGAACTCAGGAAAATGCTCCATGAGGTGGACGCTGACGGTAAATTTATACAGCAACTGGCGTAGATAGACTTCGTTTTAAACAATGTATTTGAAGTAATTTGATAGGGGTTATGTATGTAGTGTCAGCCGTCCAAGACTCAAGCTTCGTATAAGTGACGGTTATAAGATTTTTCATGTATCTTTATCCCTACCATGTATTTAATCTTTTGGCCCTCCGTTACGTCATTTCGTCTTGATGTTTTGTTATTTCAATGCGGAGGTAAACATTTAAAACTGAACACACCAATATTGATACAGTCATTTGTTATATATGGTACAGCCATTTTTTCCAGTCAGTGTCTGTGTGCAATTGGTTACTTATTATCTCCCTGGTAGCCACTATGCTCATTAAGTTACCAATTTTTCATTAATAAATATCATAAACATTCAGATTTGTTGGGTTTTTACATTTACAATTAACGTTTATGGTAATGAAATTTAAATAAATTAAAAAAATGAATATAATACCAAAAATGTAAAATTTTGATAAAGCGAAAATTTGAGATGTTTTCTTACTGACTTTGAATCGTTATCGTTAACTTCATTTATATCCCAGGAGTATGGCTTTATAGATCTGGGTGATGCTTGGTTATAAAACAGAACTACTACCACCAGTATATAAAGGGCAATAACTCACACTCGCATATCTGTTAGATAGATGTTTTATCAGAACACATAGTTACGAGAGTTTCTGGCAAATGAATCCTCTTTTTTGTAAATGGTATAATATGTTTTGTTTTTATTTCACTGCCGTTTTTGACGCTTTAAAATAGGTTGAAATGATATCACTGCACGACTTTTTCTTTAAATCGTCTTCAATTTGATATTGAGTTCCTTCCAACTCGGAAACACAGATTGAGGCGGACACAACAAATTAGAAATTACATAAAAAATATTAGACTTAGAGGTTACTATTTTTAAGATTGTGTAATTAAATTCATTATCTAGGTAGTGGAACGATAGACTTCGCTGAATTCCTCACCATGATGGCGAAACGGATGTCGAATTCTCCAGAATCCCCCGAGGAGCAGATGCTGGAAGCGTTCCGACTGTTCGATAGGGACGGCAATGGCTCCATCAGTCCGGAAGAGCTGAGGCAGGTGATGGTCAACTTGGGCGAGAAGTTGACGGACGAGGAGCTAGACGGTATGATCAAGGAAGCGGATAAAGACGGAGACGGGAGTGTCAATTACGAAGGTTAGATATTGGTGCCAAGCTTTAGTGCTTTTAGTGTCACGTTTTTAACCTGATAAGTCGTACTTTTCCTAAGCTTGTCAAATTGATTTGTGCAATATGTGATTAATTTATTGCTATGATATTGTATGTGACGTTGAGGTTAATTTGTTTTAAGTACGATGCTTATTACTTTTGATTTTGGTAATGGATTTGCGATGTCGAAGGTACTTTGTTAGAAGTTATCTGTTTCTCGAAAGCGGTAATTGGTCCTGTGATGTTGATTTTAATTTTACTTTGTTACAAGTCGTCAATCTTCCGAATGTGGATGTGCGATGTTGATGTTGTTTGTGGTCACTTATAGGCGACACTGTTATACTATGTTACAAGCTATCTATTTCAAGTATATTTGTCATAAGAACGGGTCAAATCCCAAAGTAATTGATACCTACTGATTGTGATCAGCATGCTATGATGTTGGCTTGAACATTGTTGATGGTACACGTTCTGGGCAACATAATGTCTACTTCCAATGTGTGTGCGTTTCGTGGAACAGTGATGGTGAGAGGATAGAATTGGTTTACAGGTGATAGTAAAGGTATCCATGAATGACTAGTTCTGTGCAATGTTGATGATTTGTTGTTACAAGTCGTTTTATTTCCAATGACTGCCGAAATTGATGTGCGGTGTAGATTGCATTTTAGCGCCTGTTTTCAATAGCAAACAGAGATAGATAATTACTACATACTTCCCTATGACGTTCCTCTCTAATCACCTGTCAATCTAACTTACATACCATTTTTACTTCATTTTGGCAGCAACTAATGGTCCATTATTACAGTCTGAAATCTGTTTTGTTGAATGATATTTCAATAATAAATAATGTAATGCTAATACAGGTAAGCAATGTCTTGATGCTGGTAGATAATATAAGATTTTGTTTCATTTCAGAATTTGTGAATATGATGAGTTGCCGATGAAGTGAAGTTATGATAGCCCATATGTACATCATCATATCGTGTAGATCTAGATCCAACGGATATCATTGAATACAACTTACCTGGCCAGGTAAAGACGGTCGTGCTAGTATATCAAGTGTTGACACTGTGATTACTAACTTTGTGGGCATGGCAATGCTGTACTGAGCTACAAACAGGAACCGGTTTATCATCGTTATTTACATGCGTCATATGAGAACGACTTTTTTGTGTCTGAAAAAAAGTCTTTTATAGAATAGTATTTAACATCCAAACACTCTGAAATTAAAGTTATATCCATGGAAAAAATACTGCAAAGTTCTATCCGTCCAAATATTAGTTGTAATTATTTAAATTTATATAATATTATGTTTGTTATATTTTAATATTTGATGGTTTGTGTCTTTGATTTTTTCTCTCTCAACTTAAATACAAATAAATGCATTGTTTATAACAAAAATCTTATATCAATATTGATAATGTCTTCTTTTGAAGGAATTAAATTTCTGTTTAATATAATAAAGTTTTATCGCACGGCCTTCTTATTACCAAATAAAACATTTGAACAATACAATTGCGTTTGTTATTAAACATTTTAAGTCATATTGTAGTCATTGCACAATTCACAATTGCTGAAATGTAAAAAAAAAATAGTAATCTTAATGTCCAAAGATAAGTTGACAAAGTTTTCTCATTTTGAAAAATAAAGCAATTAGTTCATTGATTTGTTGACAGTTTCGTCCATTTCAAAAAAACGAACCGATGTTTCCTGGTTTCGTTGGTTTTAATCTATTCAGCATTTCTTTGCCTCGCTCGACACATTTATGAAACACAATCTCTCTCACGACAATGAGTTGACCGCCATTACCATTCAATGTCCGATTATGGCGGTCAACACATTGGCAAGCTATCCATTCTAGAGTGCATTGCTATATTTTCATTTTTTCCTTGTAAATACCTCACGCCATTTCAAAATTCTTTAAAAACAACACTTGCACCAATTATATGGTAAAATAATGGATTAATGTTTCTGATCTTATTTCACTGAAGGTAACCGTGTTTGATTCTGACAGTTTAGCATAAATATGAGTATGTTCATCAAATAATTACGTCGGAATACTTTAACGGAAATACTATGAACCACAAGTCACTGATACATCCAATATGTATGTCCGTCAAGTTTTTCGACTGCAATGATAGATAGAACGATTTGTAGTTTAATCTTCTGTAGGTTATTATAAAATTAATCTGTCTTCAATATAAATTGTTGGAAACAAAAACACCTTTTTCGACCAATCATTTGTTGCTGTGTTACTTTTCGCATAGGGTGTCGCCATTTTGTTACGATATACATGTGTTTGTTTTGTAAATAACAATTTAGGCCTGGTGACTCCCCATGGTATCCGGGTGATCAGTAACTGTTTCGCGGGAGACCTTGTTCTGAGTATGGTGACCTGTCTCGTCGCCAACTGTCGCGTTCCGGAGAGCGGAAGTCCCCACGAGGTGGAGGCGAGTACAGACGGGCAGCCACACCGCCCGAGGGTGGTCGGGCAAGGAATTTCTTTAACTCCTTCAGTTCCTCTTTTATGACTTAGTGCCCTCAGCAAACTAAACCTGCCTACTCGGGTTATGTGGCGCACGAGACCCAAACAAGGCACGCTGATTGGCCACGGAGGCCTTTATATATTTCAGAGCTTTATGAACCGTCTTAGGATTCCTCTCCATGGGTCTCTGCGCCGCCATCTTTTCGCGACAGCCTTTAAGGAACGCCTCTGTAGCGACCTGATTCTTCGTTGTATTGTCCGCATGCGCAAAGCCATCGCCGCTGAGGGTCTGAATACGCAGGGCAACCTCGGCCAAGGTCTCAATCTCTTCTTGCTTCTCGCAGTGTTGTTCCCTGCGGGCCACCAATGTGACGTCTTTGTCGTTGAACCGTTCTTTCAACTTATTCTTAAGTTTAGTAAATCCAAGAGTTCGCGGAAGTTCGTCGGCATACTCCAACGCGTCACCGACCAGACAATAACAAACCGCTGCATAGTCAGTCTTACGGTTCGACCATCTATTGTCCTTCATTATCCTCTCAAATTTTAGAGCGAATGGCTCCCATCTCTCCTTACCGGAATAAGTGGGCATTTTATGTCTCTGATGACTTCTACTCCTCCGGCGTTGCCTCTGCTCTTCATCGGAGGAGTCCGCCGAATACATGTCGCTGTACTCTTCCTCCTCACTTGTGAAGTCAAGCTAAGATCTCTCGCTGTCGGACGAATCATCACGTCTATGCCTTGCAAGGGTACGGCGCGTTCCTCGTGATTGACGCGTATAGTATGGCGCGTGCGCCGTGCAGGACGTTGGTTATTCGTCCTGTCGCGTGCCCGTCTACTGTATTTCTTTCTTCATCACGGGTATCACGCGCTGTTGTAGTTACGCCTCGATTTACAACGCTTGGCAATGGCTCTTTCGCGCGAGCACCGGCAACGGCTGAAGGCAGACCATGAGCAAGGATCAGATGGTGTTTTAATTTAAACTGCTTTGGCCCTAACTGGGTATCTATATACCCTAATATGGAATGGTTATTAGTCCCACCATTAGCGTATCGCAGCTTATGGCCTAAGGGTACGTTACCCTCCCCATGTTGGAAAGGTAGATGTGAAGGGTCATATCCCTGGGGAAATTCCCCCCTCCCTGCTTGGGAAGGGTCAAAATCGGCCTGACATACTATAACAAGAAGTCAACCTCCCTTTCATTGGACGATGATAGGCATGACATGCGTTGACCTAGGGGCAGATTCATTTCATCCTCTACATGTGGAGCTGATTCTAATTCAAACCCCCACTTAGAGGCAATGGGTGCACTGGTACCCCCAGTAGGCCATGTTGCCATATAGGACTCCTGACCTTGACCCCTTACATACATCCCATCCTTCAGGATAACTTGTAGGATAGGGTCAAAACAGGACTCTTTCTGTTGGGGCACCAATGCCCGAGGGTCAGTATATAGTTTACCCTCAGGTGGATGGGAGGTAGGTTGAGATGCAGCTCCATTTCCAATTCCTTAAATCTATGCTGCATGTCCAATACAGCGTCCTCCTGCCCTCCCAGTCTATCTTACTGTGGTGTGGTTGACGGGCGTGGTGGCGGCACCTCTAATGGAACAGTGACCATTATACCCGAAATCACCCCATCACTTAGCCATCTTTGCCATTTTTCAAGGCCTATCCTTAAACTACCCGTTAAATAATGTAGGGTGAGATCGCCGTGGCGTCACCTCTTATCTCAAGGATTGCCTGCGCTATCGCAGGGCCTTAACCCTCCAACGAGCACATCTCTTCCTCTGTAGCAGAACGTAAATTGATAACAGACATCCTCAAGTTGAGACACTGTTTTAAGTATGCTCTACTAATTCAGAATACACAATGTGTTTCAATGTTGTAATAAAGAAACAAAGATTAATATGTTTCTATGTTCTTATAACGAAACAACTCAATACATGTAAATAAACAATGACAAAATGCACAAATAGACAACGTATGTCTGGCCAGGACAAAATTCAAAGGGTTTAAAATATTAAACAATTGACAGTTTACAAAAAATACCTAATAACTAACCTTATGTAATCTAAACCTAGCTATACAAATCTAACAATACAATTAATAATTAGTCTACAATATAAACCTAAAACTTTATATAACCTAACGAAACCTCGAAACTCTCGCCTGTCATACGTATTCCGCCAATATGGGCGGCCAACTATACAGGCGAATTGAGCTAAGAAACAAAGTAACAAAACCTATAAACTAAATATAAATATCAGAATGGCAGCGAGTCGCCGATTCCGAATTATACCTTACTAATAAATAAAACTGTCCCTAATTTCCCCACTCGCAATTCGCGCACAGGTCACGTAGGCAAGCGCACGTGGCGGACGAGAAGGGACTAACAAGGAAAAATTAAGTAAACAAACCTGCCAACCTATGTCCAAAATAGCGCCAGTTCGAGACGCACTTCGACACCAAATGCAGGAAAATGATTTTAGTTTCGGAACAACGTTTAAGCCGACAAAAAACCCGCATTCGGCGACAAAAGAACTAAAAACGAGGGATGGAATGAGACTGGTAAGGGAGACACAATTATTTATCGATGGTATCGATGGTATTCTTTTAAATTATCGTGACAATGTATCAATGGTATTCTCTTAAATTATCGTGACAATGTATCAGTGGTATTCTCTTAAAATAACGTGACAATGTATCAGTGGTATTCTCTTAAAATAACGTAAATGACAACCCATATGCATCTATGGCATTTCATACACAAAAAAATCGTACGAGAAACCATTTTTGGATGGTACTCTCTTAAAGCCATTCTGCAAAATAGAGACTGTCAGGTCATTGAAGAAATACACTGTGTATTAAATATGTAGCCGTTTCTTTTCCCTTGTTCATAAAATTTTACCATATCGAGTAAAAAGAACAAAATCTGGTAGCTTTTGTGCCTTCTTGTCATTTGGAGACAAATATAATGCCGTTAGTCCGCGTCGAAATAACGAAACAACGATACATTTCGTTATTTTGGGAATTAAAAAAGTCAACTAAATAACCTAAATAAACAACAAACACACGATATACATGTATGATCCGTCGTAAAATGGTCAAGTTCGATACCTGTCACCTGTGTACTGAGTAAAGTCACACATGATATGGTGCTTCGTACGTTATGCCAATGGATATTTGACACTTCCCGGCAAGGGGTGGACAGAACAGTAACTGAGTTAGTTAACATTCCTAGTACTTGACAGTATACCCAAGGTCAATCTAAGGTCAGAAGGGCAAATCCCATCGGAAACGTAAACTTGAACAGAAATACAGACTTTCGTATCATAAACCAATGGGACAGAATATCAGAGTCGGGATGGGGTAGAGGAAGGGTTTAAACGTGCTGAGTTATGAATATATTCCACAATAGTATCACTCTAAAGGTGTTCGCAGATATTATTTATATTTTTAACGATAGTCATGTCAATGAATTTGAATCAGAAATTTCAGATTGAACACAGCATGTCCCCATACCAAGGTATTTGTCATGTAAACCAAGTCATTCTTGTTACATCTTTAGGCTATATGAACATGTACAGCTTCATAGGAATAACTGTTGTCCTTGGTTTACCAGACGACGTCTCAGTTCCGTTCAAGGAGACTATTAGTGGGTGTTGTCCGGCTAATTCACACTGCTTACATACTGGTGTTGACAAAGTCCGCACGTTGACAGGTATATAGATCCTAATGGCGTTGGTGCTGATAAAGGTATACGGACACGAACTAAATATCTTTTTATTACATCAACAAGAATTTATGTTA